TGACTGACCAGGGGTGTCAGCAGCCATGGGCTCCGTACGCAGCTTGCTTCTGTGCGGATGGCTGTCCTAGAAATCAGTGCCTATCTTTCCTGAAAACTCATTTCCAGTCTCAGAGGGTCTTCATTTCATTCCGTGGCGTTCTCCCCACACCCTGTAGTTCAGAAGCTGGTTTATATAAGTACTTCATTCCTTTGTATTAAAAGCATTTGGAAGGGTTGCCTCCTTGGACGGCTCTTTTCTTCTTCCCTCCAGGGAGATGGGGACGAGTATTTGGAAGTCATGTCCGTTTACATCAATACGCATACGCCTGTACATAGAGATCTATTTTTTAAGTGTAAATGTAACGACATACTGTGAATTCCATCTTGTTACTGAATGAGACTCCTCCAGTCAGTTGTCCAAATAAAACCTGTTCTGAAACGGCCCTGTGCTTCATGGGGGCAGGGGGACCAACAGCAGCCTCAAGGATGCCGGTGCCCCCCTGGAGACCACTCTGCTGGGAGATGCCTGGGACTGGTCCCTCGGTGTCCCCGGGGCTCCAGCCCCCCGAGCAGTGCACAGATGTCCACAGGGGACGGGTCCTGAGGTGGGTGGGACGTGGTCAAGAGGCCTCTTCACAGAGCGCGCACCTGCTCCACCCACCCCAGGCTCCGGCCTGGCCCACCTCACCCAGGTTTCCCAGGGCCCCTGAGCGTGCACACACCCCCATGCATGATGGAGGCTTGTATATGTGCCAGCACCAGAGGAGGCTCACACACGCACACGCACAGAGCCAGCAGCTCGCACACGCACATAAACACAGATGATGAAGACAGCACCAACAGAGGCTCGCAAAGAGGCCTTTATTTATCTAGCTCAAAGTAGACACTATCACAATCTTATCTGTGACTCCTTTTACTAAAATAGTTCAAATCAACGCTTTTACCACACTATCAAAAAGGTCTCTTTTTTCCCCCCCAGATCCAAATGGTTTAAAAGGTAGAAACGGGCTCTGCTCTCAAGGGACGGGCTTGAGTGACCTACAGGTCACAGGTGACACGGTAGCTGCTGGGCTTGGGACGCAGCCCGACTCCAGCCGCTTCCAGAAAGCAGCACAGCCCCACCCCCGATTAAGAAAAATATACAAGTCTCCAGCTCCCGCCGCGTGCCGGACCCTTAAAATCAGTAGTACTTGGTTTCCTCTCAAGTTTCAAGAAAAGGAAAGGTCACTTTTTTTTCTTGCTCAACACTGGTTATGTAGCTAAGAACTCCCAGAAACAGCATGTGCTTCAAGGATTTCAGTTCTGAGGGCACAGTGGGGCGCTGAGGGGTACATCACAGTGGGACCTGATGCCCAAGGGCCAGAGCATGTGGAGAGGACCCTAAGGTCAGAAACTGCCAAGCCTGAAACCAACTCGCTTCCCCTCCTGGGGCCCTGAGCGGGGCCTCCCCACCTGCCCGCTCCTGACTCCCCAGCCGGGCTGCCACCGGCGCCCAGGACAGTGGAGGTGGCTGGTCAGCGGCTACTCAGATGAAGCCACCGACGCAGTGGCTCGGGTGCCAGCGGTGGGCATAGGGACAGGCCGCACACAAGCAGGAAGGTCTCGGCCAGTCCCCCGCCCTGCGGCGCTGCCACAGCAGAGACTGCCTTCATGGCTTTCCCCAGGGGCCAGTCCCTGGGGCCGTGTTCTCACCTGGCCGGTGCAGGGGCAGGAAGCCCTTAACTTATTGCTTATTTTCGGAGGTGGCCAGGCCAGCCCTCTCCAAACATGATTCACATGAGCTCCTGGCCCGGGTCCCACCCAGTGTGCAGCCGCGTCCCTCTGAGGCCATCTGTGGGGTTCTTTGGATTATAAGACCCAGGAAAGGCTTCTGTTCCCCTAGCTGCGTGGCCCAAGAGGGCGGGAATCTTCCAAAACCCTGGCCCTTTGCTGCTCCCACCCTGGGGCTGCCGGCCTCGGACCTTCCTCAGACCCTCCCAGCGCCCTGCTCTGGCCCAAGGGTCCAGTGAGTGACAGCCTTTCCCGTGAGGACACGATGGAGGGGCTCAGCCCTGTCCCGTCCACATGGGTGGGGGCCCTCCTGTACTCTGCACTCAGCCGAGGGGCAGAAGAGATGGGCAAGAAAAGCTGACCGTCCACGCACGTGGACCCCATGGTGCCAGCCACCATGCTGACGCACCGGGACAGCCTGTCCATGGCCTCGTGGTTTGTGGTTCCTAACGTGCCACCTGACCACCATCCTCCTCTGGGCCTTATCTTCCTCACTCAAGTAATAAAGTCACACCTAGCACTTTGTACAGGGTCATTTACAGAGTCTCAGCCCAGAGCCCAGCACGGAGGGGCCACAGTACCCGCTGTCCAGCTGAAGACACTGAGGCTGAGTGGGGACGCAGCAGGACAGCGGAGGAGCCACCCTCAACCCTCAGTCTGCACTCAAGGCCACGCAGGCCGAGTACTGACCAGACCCCAGGGAGGCTGTGACCTGCTGAAGGTCACCCCGCAAATCACAGCCGAGCCAGGCGGGCTCCTGGGGTGACCAGTCCTTGCTGCACTGCCCGCTGGGACCCAGGAACAGCAGGTCTGGGTCCACAAGTGCCCCGGGGGGCCAGGCTAGCTCAGCGACCCCATCCAGACTGATGTCTGTGGGTCAGCATGAACTCTTCTGGGGCTTGTCTCCAGGCCGTCTGGCCGCCTGGTCGGAGAAGAACAGGACCTGGGGGTGGGCCCTGGGCGGGGCTTCAGGCTGTGGGAGGGGCCTCCAGCAGTGGTGGCCCTGCAGTCATTGTCCTGGGCCATGTCAGCGGATCCAGCATGTAGGCCATGGCAGGTGGACAGGGTCAGGGCCACCTGTCCAGGCTCACAGTGACCTCAGTGGAGGGCAGGGGCATCGCGGAGGCCGGGTGAGCTGCCCTTTGCCATGGCTGGGGCACAGAGGCTGTGCAGTTCCCAGCCTGGCCCTTGTGACTGGAATGAGGGGTCCAGCTGAGGAGACATGTGCGTGCCCGGTTTCTCCGTCCGGGTCACTGGCACGTGAGAGGCGGGAGATGGTAGCAGCCTGGCAATGAAGGGCAGCACGCTATGTACAGCTCATCGAAAGCCGCAGCCAGGGGCGAGGCCCTGCTCAGGAGACCCGTGTCCAGGCCAGCCAGTCACGTCCGAAGGGCCCACCTACAACGGCCCCTTGAACTGGTTCCCAGACAGGTGCTGTCGGATGGAGGGCTTAGAGCTGGCGGCATCCCCCAGCTTCCTCCAGACCACCTGTGGGGACAGCAGAGAGTGGGGTCAGCGTCCAGTCCCCTCTCTGGGAAGATACCAGCTCTGAGCAGTGACAGACACTGGGGACAACAAGGCTGCATACTAGGCATGCATCACCCACGGTCACACTGGGTGCCACTCAGTGCACAGGGGACACTGCTGGGCAGAGGGGCGAGAACACAGCCCTACCAACCTGGGAGTGTCCTTCCCCAACTGGGTCCAGAAGCGGAAAGGGGTGAGGGAATAGGAGGGGTAGCAGGAGCTCACCCCTGGGCTCAGAGGTCCCCGGATTCGCTGGCACCTCAGCTGACTGCTGTCTGCACTGGGCAGCCACTGAGGATGCCACACCAGAAGACCTAGGGAGCTCCAAACCCAGAGTGACCTGTAAGCTGTGAATCTCTGTGGACATCTTTCTCCAGGGATGGCCCCTGGTCCTAACATTTAACTACTGTGCCACCAGGGGTCACCAGGGGCTGACAAAGAGGCTGGGACAAAGGCCAGTGCTAGGGGAGGGGTCCCAGGTTTGGTCAAGTCCAAGCCTAACACTCCAGGGATAGATGGGTCTGCAGAGGCCAGGCAGAGACGCTGGGGCTGAGCCTCCACTGGAGAGGATTAATGAGTAAGTGGGCACAGTGTCACCCCCACCCCAGCACCCAGCGTGGGCCTTCCAGGTGCCCGCCCGGGGCTGGGGCACATTCTCTTACGTTGCACATCTCGCGGACGATGGCCTTCTCTTTCTCACTCAGGTCCTCCTCGCAATTGTCCTGGAGCTGCCGGTCCAGGTTCTCATGCACCTCCAGGACCTGCAGGGACCAAGGGGCAGGTCACTCGGGCCCTTCCACACACGCCACCCCTTTACCGGAGCATGAGGCCCTGCAGCTGGGCGCTGACAAGTCGGGGAGGAAGTCCACGGGCCTCTGCTCACAGCTCCACTCTCCCTGCCTGTCATGTCCTGAGTCTGCGCCCCTCCCTCCTCCCTCGCTGTCCTGTCACGGGCAGGTTGGGGTGCTGCTGGTGATGCCTCCCAGGTGTGTAGGGGGTTCCCTGCCTCCTGTACCTGGCAGTTAAGAGGCTTGGAGACCTGAGCAGCTGTCCACCCCACGTCTGGTCACCACCTGACGGCTCTGAAGCCATGGTGCTCCAGATGGTCCACGGTCACTCAATACCCCAGCCCTGCCAGACAGACCCCAGGAATGCCACACTGGCCCGGGGTGTAAAGCCCACCTTACCTTCATGGCGTGCATGACAGCCTCGGGCTTTTGTCCAGCGGAGCTGTAGCCAGTTGAGGGCGGGGAGGGCAGCTCAGGGCAGGCTGGGCCCTGTGGAGAAGGACAGGGCCTCAGAATGACCAGGCCTCAGAAGGGAGATTGGAGGTGCTCACCCTACTCTCTCAAATAATCTGGTTCCTTGGGGAGGGGGCAGTCAGGGAGCACGGGCAGCTCAGAGTCACATAACAAAGACACAGCACTCTGGAATCAAACCCAAGTCAGCTCAACCCCAAAGTTCCCACCCCCTTCCCACCCAGCCTCCCTCTTCCAGCCACATTCTCACTGCCCATTAGGCCCAGGGCCAGGAGACAGCAAGCCCAGGTGAAGGATCCCAGCTGACCTCTATCAGTCTGAGTATCAGAACCCACTGAGTCCCCACTCACACCCAGGAAAGATAGCTAGAAGCTAGGCCTTCTATCTGGGGTCAGTGGGCATGGCCTCAAAACAAAGCAAGGGCTACCCCAGAGGAAGCTTACACAGACTCCAGACAGAGCCCATGGGGTTAACCGAAGCCAGGAGTCCACCAGCTCTCACTGTGGGGCCCAGGTGGGTGGGGGTTAGTGGGGCTGACCTAACTCTGAGCCTGGTTCTTCACCTGGACACCAGGAAGGCCCTTGTCCTCCAGGACAGAGCCCTCAGACACTGCCTGGTGGCTATTCCACTGATGCTCACCATAACCCAGCCACGAAGTCTCTGACCAGGGCCACCACACTGGGAAGTGAGGCTCTTTTTAGGGGTAAATGGAATGGAAGGGCCCGTGAGCAAATGATGGTCGCACTTTTGCTGACAGCCAGCAGGGGGCACAAGCCACACACGTATGCAGAGGCCCCTTTCGAGAGCCCACACCACAATGTCCACAGATGAAGACTCTACGTCTGTTTGACATCAGTGTCCCTATCTGCCCAGGGACACAAGCCTATGACGACTGAGAGAATCCTGGTACAATCCCAGCATTTGCCAGCTCCCTCCAGGGACTGCAGAGTGCACTGCAAAGCCACCGCTGTCGAGTGATGCAAACAAGTCCACCTGCACACACACTGGGACTGGGGCCGTTCCGGGCCCTCCCAGGTGCTTTCAGCCTCTTGGCCCCTGGGTCCTTACAGGTGGCCTCCCCTGGGTCCTCACAGCCGGCCTCCAGCAGCCAGGACAGCCAGGAGGCTGAGAAATGACCAACCAGGGCCAGACGGCCCTGAAGAGTAGGGGCTGGAACTCCAACCAAGCAGGAGCTGAAATGGAAAGATCATGCACGTCAAGAGAACTGGGGACACATGTCCACTGCAAATGTGTAAGAGAAGCCCAACCACCAAGTTCCAAACAGCCTGGAGGCAGGACAAGCCAGGCATCCACCCTGGAGGAAGAGACAAACAAGTGTCCCTCCGTGCAGGGGAGGCCGCTCGACCGTGAACCCTCCGCCATGAACAGCAGCCACGAGCTGAGACACAACGCACGGATGCTGGGCACCAGGTGCCAACTGAATCGAGCCAACATACAGTCCACACACTAGATGGGTCCATCCAGGACTGACCTCAGGGACAATGAGGGTCACTTCAGTCATTGCAGCAGCACAAGTGTCCATATAAAGGACACAGTAATAAAGGGAGGTCGAGATAAAGTGAGTCACATGAGTGTGCTGTTCCCTAGTGCATGTGAAAGTTATGCTTACACTGCAGTGAGTGTGCGTACGTGTGTGTCACACATACACACACAGCCATGTGGGAAAAGATCTCCATCATGCTGGTAAATGTAGAGGCTCAGAGAAAGAGACAAAGTCCCTTACCTGATGAGAGTGACTGACAATAGGCTGGAGCCCTGTGAGGACATTGCAGGGCAGGGTGAGGCTCAGATCTGCTTATAAGATGACAATGAGCTGTAATCAATGCAATAGCACCCAACAATATTTATTATTGTGTAGTGTAGAGATTGAGATTGTTAACAGCTTCCGTTTTCTTGGCTCTACAATCAACATTCTTGGTACTGGCAGCCAGGAAATGAAAAGACAAATTGCACTGAGAAAGTCTGCTGTCAGAAGCCTCTCTAAAGTACTGAAGAGCAACGATGTCAGTCTGGAGACTAAGGTACGCCTGATATAGGCCATGGTCTTTGTAATCACTTATTATGCATCAGAGAGCTGGACAATGACTAGGGATGATAGAAGGTGAATTGGTGCCTTTGAGCTGTGGTGCTGGAGAAGAGTATTGAATATACCATGGACTGCTAGGGAAACAAACAGGTTTGTCCTGGAGAGGGTGAAGTCAGGCTGCTCCTTGGAGGCAAGGATTCTGAAGCTTCACCTGACATACTTTGGACATGTTGAAAGGAGGGACCAGTCCTTGGAGAGAGACATCATGCTTGGGAGGGTGGAGGGACAGCACAGGAGGGGAAGACCCTCTATGAGGTGGATTGATTCAGTGATCGGGGTTAAGCGGGTAAGTGTGTCAAAGATAATAAGATTGGCACAGGACAGAGTCAGGTGTAGGACATGTAGGGTCGCTATGAGTCACAGGCAACCTGACGGCACATAACAACAACTGTAGAGTCGGAACAGACCTATAGCTGACCCTCCGGCGGGTTTTCAGAGGTAGTTAATCGCACAGGAGGAGACTGTCCATCTTTCTCCCGTGGAGCTGCTGGTGGACTTGAACTGCCTGCCTTCGGGATTGCAGCGCAGCTTCTTCCCACTAGGCCAGGAGAGCTCCTCCTCTACACACACCTCACGGTCTGGAGGACATCTGGACTCTGGTCCAGCGTGCCTGTCCGCTGATAACCCCAGGTGGCACCGCCTGAGCGGCCTGAGTCCACCAGCGGCTCTGGGGAGGGAACACGGGCCATTTCCTCAGTACCATCTACAGACTCAGAAACCCCGCTGGAGACCAGCGAGTCACTGGAGTCAGTTCCAGCTGAACGGCACTGAGAGCAGGTGACGTGAGCTAGAAAGGAGGTTCTGGTGCCGTGCTTCGAGTGGGCTACACTGCTAATCACGGGCTTGCATCTCGGCGGAACAAAGACGGGCAGTCTCCACCTTGATGACTGGCGGCCTCAGAAACTGGACCGAGGGTCACGATGCGTCCGAATCCCTGTGAGCACATTAATGCAGGAGCACGCATAAAACCTGGCAAACGCAGGAAGTGAGGCGCACTCCTGCCTCGCTACCTGCACCCACCATAGCTCACCTTCAACAGGTGCCAGAGTCTGTAAATCACACACAGGCTCTCCTGGCCTGGCACTCAGGAGTCGCACTACCAGCCCAAAGGCACTCAGTTCAAATCCAGCAGCAGCTCCATAGGAGAAAGATGGGCAATCTCCTCCTGTGCAATTTACAGCCTCTGGAAACTCCCGGAGAATGAGCTATGAGTTAATTCTGACTTGACAGCATGTAACAACCACAAATCTCACACAATTCCTTATCCACTCGGTCACCAGAGTTCCTCTCACACTAGCCCACCAGGCTGCTACAACTTGGAGGCTGTAACCAGTGTCAAACTTAACGCGTGTGCAACCAATGTCCAACTCAACGTGTATCAGTTGTTTGATGTATGTGAGCTCCAACTCAATGTGTATCAGTTGTTTGATGTATGTGAGCTGTTCACTTAAAATCACAATCAAGTTTTTTAAAAGTAATAAATTTAGGGGAGCTCTGGTGGCCTAGTGGCAAGAAGCTGCACTGCAATCCCAGAGATATGTGGTTCGAATCCACCAGATGCTCCTCCAGAAAAGGAGGGACAATCTGCTCCTGTACCTGTCGGATCTGATTTGACGGTACAGACACACAAAATTTTAAAAAAAAATTTGCCACTTGATTTCACAAAAGAAGTTTCAAATATTGTGAGAATAATAGGGGGGAAAACCCCACCAAAACATGACCCAGAGGCTGGCAGAAATGAAAATGGCCCAACTGGTTTGTAAAGATGCGAAAAAACTGGCATGTGCAAGCTAGTGTCCCCAACAAAGACAGCAGATTTGGGGGTGCAGGGGCACTGATGGGGGGTGACTGTTCATAGGTACAGGCTGCTTTTCAGGGTCATGGAAACAGCCTAAAAAAGTAGATTATAGTGAAGACCGTTGAACTGGAAGATGTCAGAAACCACAGAAGGCGCACTTTTCTGAACAAGGGGGCCCTCAGCTTTCCGCAGGAGCCTGTCGGACCCTCCCCTTCCTGTCCTGGCTGAGGGGCTTCCGACTGCCAATTCCCACGGCGTCAGTGGGAACAGGTCTCATCCACGGCACTCACTTGCTTACCAGGGACCCTTGAACTTGGGTCTGTTCATCCTCCAAGTCCTTCCCCAGTGACTTGTCCCCAGACACACAGCCTTTGCCTCCCCGGGTGCTGGGGACAGACAATGTGCACGCACAGGCCACATCCTCATGGCCACTCACACCACCCAGTGTCCTCCCCACGGGCCGCGTCCACAGGGTCACCACGGGCGATGTGGAGCCGAGCTGTCCAGTGGCTGCAGGCTGTCTGTCCCTCATGTCTCTCGGCCATGACTTCATGCCCCCCACGGTGCCCTTCACTCAGGAGGGCGGGCCAAGTCCGGGTATGAGGAGACCTCAGATGAGCTCAGGTCTTGAGTAGACGCCGGGGAAACAGCTCACAAACATTACCTCACACCCCTTTACAGAGCCTGGGGCACCCGAGCCCCGAGCCCCATGCCACAGTACTGCAGGATGGATAGAGCGTACCTGGCCAGCCTGGGCTGTCCTCTAGGACACTACCCCATGACTGCCTGTCACCCTGAGCCGGGCCTTCACCTCCAGCCAACAAGCTGGGCCTGTCCCAAGGTCCCTCCTGGGAAGGTGAGGCCAGGAGGCGGGTGCTGGCCAGCAATCTCCAGGGACTGACCGGGCCCACAGCCCGCCCTGCTCTGAGCAGGAACCAGCATGGCCCTGACCTCCACATGTCCCAGGCGGGGCAGGGGGCTGCTGGAGCCTTCCAGTGTGATCCAGCAGGATCTGGAGATGCTGGACCATGGTCGGAGACAGGGGCCCCACGGCACGGGCACTCACGTTCTGCAGGGCATCCTGGTAGGAGGGCGGCAGGGACGAGAGCTGAGACTCCGAGTGGTACGGCGAAAAGCCCTTCCTTAGCATCCGGAACTCTCCAGAACCTGCCTGCTGCAGAGAACAGAGAGAGGGGGTCAGCACAAGGACGTCCCTGTGCCAGGATCCTGCCGGAGATGCGCCCCTCCCTCCCTGGGTCAGCTCCCCACAGCAGCCCCCGGGAGACCCCTGAGCACAGCTCCAAAGCCCCTCTATTCCCCAGCCCACCCCCTGCTTCTCCTGTGCTCACTGTCTGTCACCACCTGGTGTCCTTCTGTCTGTCCACACTCAGAACACCCACCCTCCACAGCTCCACTGAAAACAATAGCCAAAGTTGAAAACAGAAATACTATTTGAGCCAGCAATTCCACCTCTGGGAATTTACCCTAAAGAAACCATAACTGCCACCCAAGCAGACATGCACACCCCATGTGTATCGCGGCTTTGTTCACAATACACAAAGCTGGAAACAATCTAAGTGCCCATCAACAAACAAATGGATAGAGAAGCTGTGGTATATTCACACGATGGACTACTACACTGCATTGAAAAAACAAGGAACTCATGCAATATTATTCAAAACGGGTGACCCTAGAGGACATTATGCTGAGTGAAATATCTCAGTCACAAAACGACAAATACTGCATGGTGCCACTGTAGTAAAACAGGACTGACGTCGACATTGAGGCGAGACAGAGAAGGAGGGGAGGAATGATGTATACTGCATTGAATCAGATAAGGGAGAGAACTGTTTAAAAGGGATATGTGATTAGGTATTCTTGTCATGACAGGAGTCCAGAATGAAGGCTGCATAGTGGAGGCGACTTGGGGGGAGGGACAGCATAACAGTGAAAGAGTTTTACTTATCAAGGAGAAAAGTTAATTGGGGGGAGGGATGGGCAGGGAGAAAAGTACGACAATGAATGAATGGAAACCCTAAGTCTCTGTAAATTTTCATTAAAATTCATTGGGGGGTGGGGGTAACCCAAACACCCACCAGCCCAAACCCAGCGACTTCCTGAGTCACCTCCAGCCGTGCACACACTGTGTGTGTCGGCACACGGGTGACCCGCAGCATTGGCCTGAAGCTTCTCCCTGGCCAGAGGGACCGTGGGGGCATTCTCAAGTCTAAACAGAACCCCCGACACAGGAGGCCCGGGTTCAAGTCCCAGCGAGGGCACCTCAAGTCTATCAGTCGTGAAGATGCCCAACCAGCATCAGCAGAGCTTCCAGACTAAGACAACGGAGAAAGGTCAGGTCATTGACTCCAGGGCACTGGCCAATACACAGCCTATGAAATCACCTTGTGAGCCTTGAAGGCCTGGCCCCCAGTCCACCGTGGGGACAGTGCAGGATGGCCATGCACTTCCAGCACAAAGGCTGCAGGGCGCCCCACCCAGGCCTGACTCGGGGGCAGCCCTGTCCGGGGTCCAGCCATCATACAGGAGGCCGGATGAGGGACTAGAGACGCTTCTCCCTCCCACCAGCCTGGGGTGGGGTGTCCCTGTGCTGACCCACACCCCTCCCAGCTCTGCTAGGGGCCTGCATCCCCCCACTTCCCCACTTCTCTGGCCCAGCACACAGGCTATTGTTGAAAGCCCTGGTTCCAGCTGTCCCCTCCTCCCCAGTGTAATGGGGAAGAGGCGGGTGTCTGTAGTGCTGGGGGGCGGGGGGCTTAATTAGTTCCCGAGATCCCCACCACGTGCTCTGCGCTCATCTATAAATATTTGTGAGTCGATTAGCGAGGCGGGCAGGGAGAGGTGCTCCCTCATTAACGAGCGAGGCAGCTAATGGCGCGTCCAAATGAGTCACCACTGGTGCACTTACATCCAAATTAAAAATCTGAGTGTCTGCCCTGGGGTCCCCAGTATGACATCCAGATCTCATCCCTGATGGGGTGTGCCCGAGATGGGAGGGAGCCACAGAAGGTGCTGGAAACGAGTGCTATCTGGGAGGCTCCCCAGCCCTCCCCAGAAGGGGGTGCCTGCCCCAGCACCTTCCGAGCGTGGTCCCTGAGAGGGAAGGACGGCAAGATGGACACACAGATGGGAGCTGACACGCGCACACGAGGGGCATCCTGGTTGGTGGTGGGCATCGATGTGTAGGAGGCACGAGGTCTCCTTTGAACACAGAGGCTCCGTGTCGGGGACTCTGAGACCTTGTTCCACGTGTCTCATTTGCGTCCTTTTTGGCTGTAATCCCAAATTCAGCACTTTCCTGAATTGCTCTAGGAAATCATCAGGAGCCCGAAGGCAGTGGAAGACTGCAGGTCAGAGTGAGGGGGGCTGAGGGCCCCAAGTTTGCAGCTGTCATCTTGAACAGGGAACACCGCTGAAGTTGCAACCAGCAGGTCAGAAGGGAGGGACAACAGGGCCCCACAAGCTTGTAGCAGGCATCTCAAATAGAGGAAGCTTCCAAAGTTGTGTCTAGCAGGTCAGAATGAGGGGGGCTGGGGACCTCAAGTATGCAGCTGACATCTTGAGTAGAAGCCCCTGCATTTGTAGCCAGCAGGTCAGAAAAGAGGGGGCCTCCAAGCTTGCAGCTGGCATCCTAAAGTAGCGGTAAAAACACAAACTTGTATCCAGCAGGTCAGAAGTAAGGGTGCCAGAAGTAAGGACCCCAGTGCGTGGCTGGCATCTGAGGCCTTGGGCAGACCTGGTGTCAGGACGGTGACCTTGGGCGTTTGGAGGGAGGAGCTCCGTGGACAGCTGAAGTCAGAACAAGGGGAACAGATGGGAACTGTATCACTCGTGGGGCCACTGCGTGGGAACGAACGCTGGCTGTGCTCACAAAACCTGTCTTATCCCAGCCAGAGTGGGGAGGTCAAAAGCCAAGCCCCATGGCCTCCTTCATCAAGCCCCCTCAGTGAAGGCCCGTCCCAGCCCAGGGCGCTGCTGGGGACCCCAGATGACAAGGAGAAAGAAACTCAGGATCTAGGGTCCGTGTGACTTCGGGAAGCCAGGCACTGCTCCCTCACGGGACGAGAACCTCTCACAGGGCTGTGGGGAGAATTGCCAGCCTATCACCGCCACACTGACCCACTCACAGGAGTGACCAGAGGACAGGAGGGCTCACCAGGAGGCTTTCTGAGGCTGGAACCGGACAGCAGCCTCATTGCTCCTGAGGGTGGCAGAGGGTTCTAACTGCCCATCACTCAGTCCACGGTGCCACCAGGGCTCCGGGTGGTGGGCCCCGACCTGCATCATGTGTGCTGGTCACTCTGGCGAGGAGTGCATGCAGGAAGGTGTCTTCCCACCAGCAGGTGGAGAGAAAGGCGTCTCCCCCGAGGCTCTAGGAAGAGGGGCACTAGGATACAAGGTGAGGGGGTCTCAGAGGGGACAGGTCCGGGGTTGCATCACCCACCTGGCTGTGTGAGGAGGGCACCTCAGCACATAAAGGTCTCTTTCTCTGCACTAGTCCCCCAGGGGCCATCAGGGGACTTCCCAGGCCCACTAGATGCCAGTGGCACCCCACCTCCAGAGCCGTGACACCCAAAATGTCCCAGTCATCACCCTGGACCACAAAACCACCCAACCCCTGCACAGAAGGCTGGGTCAGGCAGGTGGTGACAGGCGGGAGCCAGGTCCTGGATGTGCGACAGGGTGTGACCCAGTCCTGGGGGGGCTGGCCAACCAATATCACCACAGGGCAGGAAGTGCCCCCAGACCCCGCAGCAGGAGGCGGGCACAGTGCTGACAGGACTTCTGAGAGCGACGGGTGGGCAGGCCTTCCAGGTGAGCCAGGTCATCAGCTGGTATGGGATGCTCCAAGTTAGCTCGATCTACCCCCGGGCGACACAGGACTGGGAAGGGGTGACCTCAGCGAGCACTTGACCTTGGTGTCCTGACCCTCCCAGACCGTGGTGGGTGTGCCACGTGCCGCGAGCTTGTCTAGACACTACCTGGCACGTAGGGCGTTAGAGGGGTTACTAGAGGAACGGGACCTGGTGGGGGCAGGCCGCCCTGGACTGGAGTAGATTCAAGGACACTGGCCACAGGACTGAAGGCGAGGACCACAAGAAGCGTCGGGGGCTCTGTTACACTCCAGAGGAGGAAGGGCTGGTGTGGGAGGTGGCAAGATGCCCTCTGGTTGAGCTGTGGTCTAGGCTTCATGGAGAGATATTCTCAGGACCCAGAGAAAGAGCGAGGCCAGCTCCCGAGTCCCTGAGGTGGACACTGAGGGTGCTGGAGAGGCAGGGTCACTGGCGCAGTAACTCACCACTCGTGGGCCACTCCTCACCCCAGGTCACAGGCTCAGCAGCCTGAGGCCCCTCACCTGAGAACACGCCCCGCATGCCGAGGGCAGAGCGCTCCATCTCCTTGAGGGGCCCTCCCACCTGGGACATGGCCTCCTTTCACCTGCCACACTGGGCTGAGTGACCACAGAGTCGCTTGGGAGGGATCATTTTGAGTTGCCAGCCTTTACCCAGCAGGCTGCAAAGTCCCAGGAGCTCAGAGAGGACCGGCCAGTGTGAAGAAGGGGAAGGTGGGAGGGGTGTGGCCTGGTGGTCAGCCCTGCAGGGGTGGGCGAGCACTGGGCCAGGCAGGCCCAATGCCCACAGGTGCCCACAGGGCGGCGTTAGCCCAGGGTGCCAGAACAGACGAGTACCACCCTCAGCCCAGCCCTCTCTCTGGACCCTGGACCCTCAATGCCCCTGAACCTCAACTTGGCCAAGAACAGGGTAAACAGTCCTCAAGGCAGCTCCAGGAACCAATGTCTTTAGAAATTTCTGCCTGTTCTGTCACGGGCTTAGGTCCCCTCCCAGCCCAACCTTTCTCACATTAGAACACAGCACTCCCCACCGCCTCTCCGAGGGGACCCCAGCAGGATACACTAGCCCAGGGATGCCTGGAGACCCCCTTGATTGGAGGGGCTGAGGCAGGCACCCCTGCCTGGCTTCTGCAAGAGCACAAGCAGGAATTCCAACTCAACTGGCTTTTTCCTTTCCCCCTTCATTTTACGAGAACTCGTTTGCAGGCCATTAAAAAAGCATGGAGCTGTTCGGCTGCGGCTGCGGGGCCCTGAGATTTCACCCTAATTAGCGCTCAGACCCGGCAGGGATTAAACAGGCCGTT